TGAGAAACTCAGTGCCCCTTCACAATGCCCATATTGCCCTCCTCTAGCCCCTAGAAACCATTCATAAACTTGTGCCTACGCATTTCATTATAAATATTGGCATACATACTTTTAAAGTTAAAAATAAAACACACAATTTTTGTTCTATACATACTTTACATTTTTATTATCTTTTAAATATCACACTCAAAGTATTTATTAACTAATTTTTAAAAAGCTTCCTTATTAGCATCTACTATGTTCAAATATCCTCAGATCTAATAAACATCTTTAAAAAAATCGGTTCTTAAAATTGGGACCCAAACAAGGTCTCCCTGTTGCCATTGCCTATTGTACCCTTAATTCCTCTTTAACTATCACCGTGCCCCTTGATCCTCCTCACTCTGTTCTAGCCTTGCAATGGTTATGAGTTAGAGTACTGGGGTCACAGTGATTACATGTTGGGCTGTGATATGAAAGGTCCATAAGTTCAAAACCAGAAGCCGCTCCCTGAGAGACAGATGGGCCTTTCTACTCCTGTTGGCAGTTACAATTTCAGAAACTCACAGGGGCAGTTCTGCCCAATCCTATAGGGTGTCTATGAGTCGGCATCAACTCAAAGGTTTGGTTTTTGGATTTTCCTTAAAATACCAACTGTTCAGGCAGCCATCAGAACAGTTCAAGTCAGAGCTAGGGACTGTGTGTATTTTCTCAGGATAGCTCAGGGTCCCACAGGGCCTACCTTTAGGACACAGAACAGTCATGGAGATATTAAATCATTTGCCCTCCTGCAAAAACCCAGAGGTACCCCCAAAAGGATAAATCCCCACCAGATCAATCTGAGCCGGTTCCTATTTCAGAGAAGCCTAATGGCTGCCAGCAACCCTAATGAAAGTAGCCTGGTAATCATCCCCATTGACTTCAGCTATACCACCCAACATCCTTTACCCCAGTAGTTGCAATTCTGGCACAAGCGATTCTAATCCTAGTGATTAGAATCATTTGGACAGCTGTGAAGACACACAATTAAATCAGAATCCCCATGAGCTTCATCTGTGCACAATCCAAGTTATGCACCACAGCAATCAGAAGAATACAAGTCATTTTGAGTGTCCAGAAGTTGA